TCTGATTTTATTTTAAAAAGCATAAATTAAATCGGTCTTTTCTGGACGAGAAATTAGGGGATGTCACATATATCTAACCAACCATCCACCGACTTTGAAATGAACATAACTAGTCCAAAATGTGGTATTCTAGAGAAAATTTTCATTCGTTAAAAGCCAAATAAAATGTTTATGAAGTCGTGTATGATTGTTAGTTTAATTAATATCCTATTTTATCGTGATATTAATTAAACTAACCCTCAAAACGGAGGCTTTTAGCAAAAATAATTAGTTTTTTTCGGTTAGTAATCCGTAAAAATCACGATTCTAAAAAGTGTGTCATGGCATGCCTCAAGGCGTGCCACGACACGAGACATGATGTAGGCGTTACGAAAACGTTCAAGGTGTGTTTGTTAAGTGTGACACCCAAATAACGTGTCAAAACGCGTTTTATCGCGTTATTGCGCGAGTCTTTTTCAAGTCGCGAGTTTTTTTTGTTTTTTTGTTTTTTTTATCGGGCATAACATAATTGAGTTTTTGTTAACTTTTTTATATTAAATATCAATATAACAATTCTAAAAACTTGATATATTGATAAAATTCAATAATTATATGAGTTATATTTTTTAATGTATATAAAATAGTCACGTTTTGAAAAAACAAAATGGCTCGTCATAACTTAATTTTGATATTGCCGTCAAGTCACGACTCATATTATTTAGAACCTTGTTAAAACACCTAAAAAATAAAGAAACAAAAAACCAACATTTACAATATTCCATATCTATCACATGACAATTTGTGATATTTATGTCTCATTGTGTGCATCCTAGAATTTCATTAAGTAGACGCACTGCAAACATCAATGGTGGGTCATTTGACCCACCTATTTTTTTATTTTATTTTTATAAACTATTATATAAAAATATAAATTATGAACTACCTTAAATATTTTAAATTAACCACCTTTATGTTTTTAATAAAAACAAATATGTATAAATCAGAAGTTTCGAAGCCTATCTTTCATTATTTTTTTTATTGATTTTATTTAAACAGTGAATATATGGTGTCGTTCTAAACCCGTAGATGCCCATAGTACATTAAGTCCGAAACAGGTTTTAGAAGGGGACCGCAGTTTTGTTAAAAATGGGTATTATTGGCCCAATATATGGAGCAAATAACGGGCTTTAAAGATTAAGGCCCAATGCCTGACATGCGAAGAAATTGCATATCTTAACAGTCGGTAATCGGTAGTTATCTTGTCATTGTCTCCCTCCAGTCTTCCCCAATCCTCCTGATGATCTTAACTTTTTAGTTACGTGATCGACGAAAGGGAAACTACACGCATTCTTACGAAACTTCAATCATAGTTTTTCCAGTCAGTTGAATTGTAGATGAATTTCTTCAAATCTATGTTATCTGGCGACACTGAGCCGGAAAATATGGATGGTTCCATGAATTCCGAGACCGATCTTCGGCAAAATCAATCTCCAAAGCATGAAGGAAGTGAAAGAGCTGAAGAAAAGCATTTAAATTTAAATTCTTCTTCGTCTGGGGAGTTTGACAGCGGCAGCGGTGGTTTATGGAGCTTTGGTGATCTGGTGAAGAATTTAACAACCAGATCGGAATCAGTACTTGAGACATACCGTCGCGATCTGAAGGAATTCGGTTCAGGATTGAGGAAAGAATCCGATTTGTTCCGTGAAGTCGCGAGTCGAGCAGTGAAGGAGCTACCATCTTCGATCGAGGTCGGCACATCGGCGATCGATGGAGTGTTGAAGTCGACTGCGGATATCATCTCACAAGGTAAGGACGCTCTTCTTGAACCTTCCGATGTTGATGACTCTGATGTCTCGGAAGCAGGACAGAATTACAGTGATCGTAGTGGTTTAAATTCGAAAGTGTACAGTCGTTTCGATTCTCAACTTAATGCGATTCAAAGTGATGCTCGAACTTATTGCAACGATCCTGAGGATTTAGATGATTATAATAAGTGGAAGCTAGGGTTTGTGTTGAGTGACAGGGAAAGCGAGATTGAGAAACTGATTGGAGATAATGGATCTGTAGAAGCAATTTACAGGAAAGTTGTTCCGAATGAGGTTGATGATGGAAGCTTTTGGTGTAGGTATTTCTATAGAGTTCAAAAGCTTAAACAGCAGGAGGACGTGAGAGCAAATCTGGTAAGGAGATCTCTAACAGTCGATGATGAAGAAGATTTGAGTTGGGATGTTGATGAAGAAGAAGAAGCTGATTTGCCTGAAATTGAAAAGAAACAGAGTTCTAATAATGAATCTATAACTGTGAGTTCTAATGTTGCTGAGTCAGTGCAAAATCCAGATGAAGATGGTGTTGATGAATCTAAAAATAAAAGTTCTGATGTTGTCAATGAGGATGAGGAGAAGAAGACCATTGTTGCTGATGTTAGCAAAAACAGTGAGGAGCCAAAACAGAGTGGTGAACATGTGTCTGATGAGAAAGTTAGTCAAAATCTTAATGCTGGTAAATATGATGATGTAACTGAGGAAGATCTCGAGTGGGATGAGATTGGGGATGTTGGGGACAACGATGAAAAGGAAATCTTGCAAGGCAACACCCCTAAGAAAGCTGATGTGTTTAAGCAGTTGAATAGTAATAGTGGTGAAAACGATGAGGATTTGAATTGGGATATAGAAGACGATGATGAACCACCTGTGAAAGCTGGTAATAGTAAGTAGTAAGTAGTTTTTCGTTGCACCAAAGGTGTTTTGGATTGTGATTTGTGTGTTGTGGGTTACTAACATCAGATCTGTTTGTTATTGTATTTATGCTGTTTGTCTTGTTGTCGTTTTAAAAAGCAATCTGTTTCTATGCCATGTGTCATAGTTTTGATCCTAAAATCTTGACTTTTAAAGACTAATAATAATTCACAATTTTTAAATTACACTTTACTAGTAAAACACTCGGGTGACATGGAAAGGAAAGTCTAATCACCACGGCCTTGTTGTAGACCAAGTGAAGCTGACCTGACTGACTACATATGCTAAATACTGGAAGTGGAGGTGGAATCTGGTGTGTGTGGTTGAGATGGGGCTGGCAGTGCGAGAACACTAGTTAAACGGCCTCTTTGGACACGAGGTAGATGTTTTGTTGGTTTTTGTGATCCGATACTCCATGGTAAGAAAACCCCGGTGCCACTTCCACCACCATGAGGCCACCTTCTTAGGCTTAGAACCATTGGATTAACTGGGGCTAACATGACTAGTTGTGGTGCACCAAGGACATCCCATTTGGACTTGGAGTCGTAGCAGCCGTTAACATTGCCATTAGGTTGCCACATGGTGATGGAACTTGTTGCTGATCTGACGTTCTTTTCGTAGTATGAGTCTTCTGTCCGAACTTTGAAAAATGTGAGGCTGATTCTTTTAGTTGGAGATTGACACATGACATGTCGCGCCATGTCAGCACTGTTTCCCCTCATCAGTAAGAGGGACCTATGGAGTTGAATACAGAAGGTTACAATGTTTTCGTTAGTGGTAATAATTAATAAAGAAGTAAAAACAGTATGTGGTTATTACCCTTGGTTGAGAGAAAGCATAAGTGGCCCTTTATAGTTTCCATCCTTATCACAAACAAGAGTTCTCCCAAAAGCCATTGTTGATTCGGATAGAACAAGGGTAGAGATCGGTTGATCAAGATGAGGTGGCTTCAAGAACGGCTGCGAAAACTCTCCCTATAGGAAAAACAAACTGGCTTTTACTTAGTGAACTATACGTAATTACATATCACACATGTATATGTAATATCTTTGATAGAAAGATTAGATTATATATAATACCTCGTCAAAAAAGTTTATGATGCAGCTGTTTGGTCGTCTGTTTTCGGGAATCAGATGGTACTTAATCAGGTGATCAATCACACCTTCAAGAGGATCTGGAATTGGCTCGATATGACCTGCACACATACATATATGTTACTAAACAGATTTAGGATTTGAATTTTGACATGCATGTTTTATCCAATTTTTAGCTAAACTTATTTTGAAACAATTACTTACTATCTTGGGATTTACTTGTAGCTTCGGCTTTTATCTGTCCAAATATGGGAGCTCCAAACTGGATAAGCTCTCTCTTGATGGCCTTCGACTGCTGGTTGTAAATGATAAACGTCTCACCTAATGAGACGTTAATTAATATCAGAACTTGGGTTGGCAAATTAAAGGAATGAACTAGTTTAGCTATAAAAGCATCAATAAAGCACAGGATCCCCTCACCCGAGAGTTGTCCATTTTTTCCAGCAACTCGGAGTTTATTCACATAGTCATTTAACCGAGTTAACTCTGTATGGGTAAGTATGTTCTCATACAACTTCAAACCTCTTACAACATTGACCTGTCAACCAACACAAGTCCAAAATTATTATGTGCATATATAGCGAATTGAAGTAATTAATAGGTATATATCAATTCGGTTGAATATAATTAAAATAATTATAAAAAAAAAAAGAACTCGCCATATGTCCTTTTACAGACTCCTTGGCTACGAACCCTTTTGTCATCTTGATCTGAGCTCTCCAGACCTCCCAATCTTCTTGGTTTGAGCATATCTTTATGTTTTCTACTTCTACCAATGCCTCCCGCGCATCTTCAGATCCTGTACATAGTCCAAAATTATATATAAGGAATTAGATTAGTATATATGCACAATAAAAGATTAACAGACAGACACATTATATGCAAGATTAGCTTCTTTTTTTTTTTTTTTTTTTGGGGAATTCATATATAATTAATCCAACTTAAATATTGAAATTAATCTTGTCAGACATTTTTCTTAAGTGTAATTAATAGATATAATTTACATATAGCAGCACTTCCATTTCCATCCAAATGGATCAAAATTAATATGGGTTAGATACTGTTACACTTTTTACTTGTATTAAAACCTTTTTGATGCATACCCAGCATAGCACTGAGCACTAGCACCCTCCCCACTAACAAAGGTAAAAAAAGCAACGAGTAATGCACTACTACTATACAGTTACACTAGGATTCCTTCATCCACTACAAGAATACGATAGAGGTTGGATGTAATTTCCAAGAATAGCATTACCTACTCCTAAAAAGCTAGAGTTTTTTTTTATCCGATTGATTAATCCATCGAAAGCATTATATATATATATATACATATATATATATATATATATATATATAACATTTAGATTTAACTTTCCCTTGAAGCACATCTAATGCACTAAAATTACCATCATTTAAGACCATTCATATCAATGCAATTCAAAGTGGTCCTTATGTTGTATAATTTTATATGAATAAATATATAAGTAATTAATTATATACTTATATATAATAAAATATTACTAAAATATGGTAGGATATATACTGACATGGCCTTGCAAAAGGACTTGCAGTTGCAGGTAATGAAAGAGCATTGATGACTTGGCTGAAGTCATTTTGCATGAAGAATTGAATTAAAAAGGCATTTGGTACTTTTGGGGTGGATGCTCTAAACTTCAAAAATCACCAAAAATAAACTTTAGAAATCCGTTTATTAAAAGCATTGTAACTGTGGACAGTTAATATTGAGGGAGTTGACTTTGCCAATAGTAGTAGGATCATAATCCAATCACAAAATTTCAAAGGCTCCGCCCAACAAACAATTCACAGGTGGTGACTGATGACATCCGTTATTACGGATCTCCTCCTGCAGCTCACACCAAACCATGTGCCACTAAATTATATTCCATTTTAATACATACACTCATCTTATCATCAAAAATCTTTTTTTTTCTTTTCAAAAAGGTGTAATTATGAATTTATGATGATAAGAAGAATAGTTTACCAACTTTAATTAAAAAACTCTTATAAATTGTTATAATACTTCTGATTGTTATAAACTTGAGTTTTGTTTTAGGACAATCTCTTGAAATACTTGGAAATTCAAACTTTTTAAAAACGTTTAAACCCTTGATTTTTAATTTTGTTATGTTATTGAGAAAGGTTAATGTTATAAAACAACAAACCAACTACTTTTATTTTTACAAAATTCCATTAAATAATTTAAAAAGGCAATATTATAAAGTACATAATCAAATCGTTTTAGTCACAAAATATCATTAAAACAAAAGTATTTTGTGAACAAAATGTAAAGTTTCATACATTTTAATTTTAATAATAATAATAATTGATGTTTTGTTGAAAAAAAAAATTGTTCGATTACATATTTATGGATACATTAATATGCTTAGAACTTTTTAACCAGAAAATTGGAAATAAAGCCGGCCTAGCCGATATGAGCAGGCAGGCAGCTATACCAATATCTAAAGGCACTTTTTATGTTTTTATTGAAATCGAACCTCGACAATCTCGCTTCAAAAAAAAGTCATTGGGAAGATGTCAAGTGTCAAGTGTCAACAGATCTGAATTTTAGCTTTTACTGATTCTCGATATGTACAATGCAAATGCATGAGAGAAAAGAGACCAGATGATTCTATTTATATATAGGAACTCACTCAATTCCAATTAATGGACACGAAGAAACCGTTCCTTTAAACATCCAGATCCCAGTATTGAAAAACTAAAATTATTGTGCAGAACATTGAAATTTGACGTTAATGTAATAGAACATGTAAAAAATAATGAGAAACTGAGAAAGAAATCTGGAAAAATGGCAAGACGTAAATGCAATTTGATAGAAAACAATATGTATGTAGTATGAGAGATCAGATGAGACAGATAATTTGTTGTCATGCCTATACCAACAATAACAAGTATAATCGTTGTTACCTGTATCGGTTATCTTTATCTCATTTGTAGGTGAATTAAGTCTGGTAAAACCATCGTCAACAGCCTCAACACCTTGATTTCTATTTCTATCGTTGGGAACCTCTTTTGGAATTTCATGATGCTGCACTTTCAGCGGCGAAGAAACATCGACTTCTTCTTCAATCTTCTGAACCCCTTTCGATTTGGTTTCGGTCACTTTCTGGAGCTCGAGAGTTACGTCAGCGATGGAAAAATACTTTTGCATCTGAAGAATAGGGATCCAATTAATCCGGCGGCGGTGTATAGCAGCGAATACTGACTCGTACTCGCACCTTCCACCTTCTAACCGAGACAGATGGCCACACAACGCGTCAATAATTGCATTCGCCGCCGCGAACTCGCCTCGGAACCAGGAGATAATCGCGTCCTTGGCGAACGTCTCTGTTGGATGTACCGCCGGGGCTAGATCGGAAGCTGTAGAAACGCCGGCTGCCGGCGTCATGCTAGTCTCTTCTAACTAAAAAAAAAAATTAGCTAAACGAAAACCTGTTTCCCGTTCGGGCCACTCGAAACAATGGCTTACGATGTTCAGTCAGTTATCGGGATTTCCCGTCGGCTGATAATTCGGAGTTTTAGCGAGAGAGAGAAAGAGAGTATGCATGTGCTTATTATAGAGTGATTGAAGACAGAAATGAAAAAAGGGGACTATATATAATATTGAAAGCCAGGGTTAGGTTTCTGAGGAGCGTATACTGTCATGTCCGTACGTGTGTCTTCACATATTGAGTTGTCAACTTTTCATTGGTTATTTTTGCTAAGGTGTTAATATATACAATATCAAAAGTTCGCAACAGTTAGTTGTTCACTAAAAAAATTATATTGGATGTATGATATTGTTTCTTTTCAAAGGTTTAATTTGTTGTTTGCGAAAGAATATATAGATATTCAAAGGTACTCATC